GATTTTGAGATGGATAACAAATGATAATAAATTCCAGCCGGGAAAAGAAGATGCAGGTTTTAAGCGATGGGCCCGAGGGGGCATCACAGCAATATGTAGGATGGTGGAAAAAGGGGAAATGCAGAGTTTTCAATATCTAAGAGATAAGTTCGATCTGGAAAGGGGTGACCATTTTAGATACTTACAGGTGAGAGACTATTATATAAAACAAATAAAAATGGATAAAAACACTAAACAAAATGGGGTAATTAAGGTCATGATTGAAGCATATGAAGGGAAGAAAGGCAGGGTGATTTCAGCTCTATATCAAGCTCTGTTGGAGAGTAGGGGGAATTCAACTCTATATAAAAAAGAAAAGTGGGAGAAAGAACTCGGGATTGATATGACAGAGGAAGAATGGTATAATGTATGTAGAGTGTAGCACTCAACTACTAGGTCAAGGGTATGGAGGGAATTTGGCTGGAAAAACATAATCAGATACTTCATAACCCCAAAGATAGAAGGGAGGTATGCCCCGGAACAGAACGCATGTTGGAGGCAATGCGGCGAGGTGGGGGCAGACCACACACATATTTTTTTTAAATGCCAAAAGATGAAGGGATACTGGGAGGAAGTGTGGGGAGTATTGAAGGGGATATTAGGCTATGAGATTCCTAACGGCCCGTACACACAGCAGCTTTTGGCGATTTGTCCACCGCTTCCAGCGCGTCTCCGCCCATTGACTTTGAATGGGGATGACGTCACTTTCCCTCGCTTGTCGCCGAACTGCATTGTGGGGGGGCGAGGCGAAGATTTCCAGGATTTCCAGGATGTTCAGGATTCCAAAGTTGAACAATGTTCAACTTTTGAGGCTGAGCTGGAAGCGACAGCCAATCAGATCCGTTTATGCAAATCTGACAGTTCAAGCGCTAGCCAATCAAACCGCGTGCAAGCTGGGAGAACCAGACCCGCAGTTCATTTCTATATTCCACAAAAATGGAGGAGAACTTAGTTATTGCGGTAGCAAATCACCCGGTTCTTTATGACCAGTCCCTATTTACTTACCGGGATACAAACCGGAGGAACCAGGCATGGAGGGAGGTGGCAGAGGCAGTGGGTGAAACTGGTAGGTTTTCGCTTGTTTGGGGATTTTATATCCAGTTTACTTCGTTGCTAGTTTACTTCGTTGCTAGCAAGCATAGACAGTATCATTAGCCAGCATGGAATGTAGCATAAAATAGCACCATAAACATTAATCTCATAAATGTTCAAAATGTTCAAAAAATAAATGTTCATCATAGCCCTTCCTATTTGACAATAGTGTAGAAGAACCGGGTTTTTTTGCTTTGTATGTCGGGGGCGGGATATTCATGTGATATTCATGTGATTGGTTGTTGGTCGCGAAATCCCCAAGCTGTCAGACACGCCCAGCTCCAGGATTTTCAAGATTTGGTCAAAGCTGCTGTGTGGACACACCGTAAGACCGGCCTGATGTTATACTTGGGGAATCTGGTACAGGAAAACACACAGGGTGGGGACAGATACCTGATTAAGGTGCTGCTGGCTGCCAGCAAGAAAACAATTACCAGAGCATGGTACAAAGCAGATCCACCTACAAAGGAGCAATGGCTGGGAGTAGTACAGGAAATATTTGATATGGAGAGATTCACACACATATTGAGGGTCCAGGAAGGGACATTTGAGTCCAAATGGGAAAAATGGGTTGAATATAAAAGAAAAATGAACGACACCACAAATTGAGAGTTGGAACCAGACCATGATGTTGCATTAAAATAGGATAGAAAGTTTCCATGTCACTGTTGTTGTTTGCTTGTTTTTATTATTATTTGTATTTTCTTTTTTTTCTTTGTTCTTCAATGGGTCTCTAATTCAATTGTATACTGAACTATATGTGGTTTTGTATGTTTATAAAAATGTCAATACAAATGTAAGTGAAAAAGAAAAAAAAGGAAACCTATGTTCCGGAAGTAAACAAAGGAGTCCAATGGAGGCTTTTCAGGTGGGGGGGAGTGTGGAGGGAACACAGGGATTTGAGCCTTTGCAGACCATTTACATACAAAAAAACAAACCTGTAGAACACACTACAGAGTGTACACTACCATTATCATTCATATCACATCATAATGTATCATATATTTCCTTATCTGAGTCAGCTGAGCCGTATCTGGCCGTGCAACACTTAGTGTCACATTTTGCAGAAGTATTATTTTAAGCAACACATTAAGTTGCCGAAACACTCGAGTCAAATGTAATTAAAGCAGCAGCTGATCTTAAAGTAAAAAACCTTAGCCACATGTGACCCTCCACCCTCCTTCCAGCAATGTGTACAAACGAACAGTAGATGGCACTCTGGCAACAAGAACAACGACAGCAAGGCAAGTTAGAAAGTAATTCAGATTTTAATTCCATGTCCTGATGTAAATGAACACAGTGACACATGAATTCACAGGTAAATGCAAATGCACACATATTTATGTTTACTCTCAGTCAGGGTTTAAAAAGAACACTACATCTCTTTTACCTTTTAAGAATAACTTTTCTTGAGGATTTATTTTGTCATGCTTTTCTCTGTTCAACTCCATTGTACTTCTACCTTGGCTGCAATATTTCTTATGTCTTACATAGTCTAATATTTGTCCTTATCAACACTATATGCTAAACTAGAATGAGTTTCCACCTATCAATATGACTTCCCAGCACTTACAATCACAACATGAAGATATGTCCTATATGGTACTTCAATACTGCTTGAATTTATACACATGAATGTACTTTAAGTAAAACTTTGAATTCCTTTTTCTAATGAGGTTTTTAACTAGTTGTTTTCACCTAATATTAGCTTTTATTTTTGTATATGAGGAAATGAATGGCCTATTCCTTCCCCTTCTGAAAAAACAACCTTGAATAGTTAATACATTCATTTTAATTAATATTGTTTCTATTTTAAAATGCATATTCAAAGATTAAAGACTAAAGAAACGTTTATTGTGATAATTTACCGACTGCAACCATCTGAAAAAATGCAATTGAGTCTCATTATAATGCTGATGGGACAATGGAGTTAATGTTCTTTATTTAAGTTTTGGGATTTAACAGTCAATATTGTCCACAGGAACAGTGGACTGCTGAATGGAGTTTTCTTCTCTGCGCTTCTGACGCTTCACAACATAAAACCTTATCACAATGATAAAAACTGCCAGGGCCACGATAACAGTGATCCATATCCAGACCAAACCCCCAGCAGGCGCAGCGGCACCCTGCTGTGTGTGATTATTGGTGGCTGGTTTCACAACACCTATGACGACAGGACTTGTGACAACAAAACGTTCCCCGCCTTCTGCTTGGACACATTTACCGTGATCTTTCAGTATATATCCTTCTTTGCAGGAACACACAAAACTCCCAAAACTGTTGTCACACTTTTGGTCACATGCATTAACACATTCATCGATGTCCTCGCACAGTTGGTCACTTAGTACAAAGCCTTCAGGACAGAAGCACCCGCTATTAGGTCCTCTCTCACATATCGGGGTGCATTTCTGTTGCGCGCAGTGCATTTTGCACCGCACAGGGTCTTTGTCGTCTTGGATATATCCAGCAAAACAGGAACATATATAACCTCCCTTTACATCTTTGCATGTATGCTCACAAGGACCAACTGAACAGCCTTTAGAGCTCAGGATAACATTCGGATCTGACAGTTGTCCCGCCTGGCATGCATCTTTGTGCTTTGTTCGGCACATAAACCCATCCGCTTTGTCCGAGCAAAGCCTCTCTGTCAACTTTCCATCCTTTGAAAGTGACACACAGTGCAGAGAGCAGACTTTAACACTCTCTTTCCAGCTGCTGAAGGATGGAAGAAAGGTCCTTTGCATACTACCAGAGGTCCACTCATAGCCTCTCAGTGGAGCTGAGAGGTTGCTGCAGGCGGCAGTGGGTAAATGCAGTCCAATCCAGAAGTCTCCGTACAGTTCATCTCTGAAAATGTCAAGTATGCTCTCATCTGCTTCTGACTGAAATGTCATTAATGCCCCGTTCCTGTCGCGGCATGTTTTCTCAGCTGTCTGGAAATCCACTCTGTCTTGGTTTACAGTTATGCAGTCATTCCCTGTACAAAAAGGTCTACAGACACCAGCCTGATTAATGCTAAATCCTGTCTTAACAGACAATATAAAAATCACTGACATCAAAAAAGACATTGCCACTACCCTCACTGGCACAAAAGCAGTCATTTGCGAGCAGGCAATGATGTTCTGCAGTAGATCATCTTGTAATGTTGGCTGAATATTCTGAAGAATTTAGAGCATGGGGCTTCCTACTCAGGAAGCAACACCCCTCAGGACAATGAGAGAGTTAAAGACAGGAAGGAAGTGAGATAAAGTTGGACTACTGGCTTCTCTCCAATGTTGGTGAAGGCCAAGGATCATTGACAGCAAAAACAGGAAACAAACCCTACTGATAATTCAGAATGAACTATTCTCTTGTCTCATAGCCTAATCCTATTGAGTACATACTCAGATGTACATGTTTTCATCATTACAGTATATCTACACCAGCATCAAACTGTATGTGTAAACTATATTCAGCTAGTAAAATGACAAATCAGTAATTGAACAGGCAGTGGTAGACATATGACTCAAACACGTACGATGGTAATAAAGCATAAAATGTAGCCAGTTAAAACTACATCCTGCTACAACTTATTCCCTCAAATCTTTCTGGGAACATCTGGCACCCACCCAACTATCAGTTTTACACACAGTTGTCCTTCTTAGATACAGCCCCTAACCCCCCTCCATACTGGAACAGCCTTTTTGTATCAACAACACCTATACATGTTTACAATTTGCTACTTCTTGCCAAATTCACCACATTTTTGCTCTATTTTTACTCTATTAGCTACATTGAAAAACTTCTGGTGGGCAATGATGTTTTTACTGATCTGTTATCTGATATGTAACCATTTCCAACCATTAGCCTAACCAAGAGAGGTTGTAAGAACATAAATTACATAAACAAACATGGTAATCCATGTAGTCAGTGTTCTCCATCACTATCATGCTATAGGTCATCAGTCAAGATCGACTCGTAAAGTTTCTCTAAACGCGGATCCAAACCGGAGGACACCCAACAGTAACCATCGGTAGTTGTATTTTTCTTGGCTTCTTTTTTGGACCGATTGCAGCGAATAATTGCAATAGCCATTGTCACTGCGACCAAAAGCAGCAGAGGAATGACTGAACCAAGGACGCAGACGATCACCCTGGAATTGACAGACTCAGCCAAACCTGTCACTGATGATGCGTTGTTCTGCTGATCGTCCGGCGGCAGGTTCACCAAGTCCAGAATTGGCGCGTTGGTGTGAGGGGACTGGTGTTGGAGCTCCACTGTTGTCCTGTTTAAAGACTCTGTAAAGTTGTCTTGTGTTTCCTCATCATTAGACTCCTCTGTTGAAGATGCTGATGTTGCTGTCACTTCCTGAGCGCAGGTTGATCCGTCAATCTCCAGGTAGAAGCCTTTCGGGCAGGTGCACCGGAAACTTCCGATGGTATTGAAGCATTCAAACTGACAGAGACTACTGACGCATTCATCAATGTCCTCACACGAATGGTCATCCTCAGATAAACTGAAGCCTTCATTGCAGTAACACAAGAAGGATCCAATACTGTTCAAGCAGCTGTGTTCGCATCTTCCTTGCACACACTCATCCATATCAACGCAAGTACCGACAACCATTTTGTAGCCGCTTTGACATGTACAAGTGTAACTTCCGTGTGTGTTTACGCACACATGATCTTCACAGGTCTGTGACTGGCACTCATCTACGTCAGAGCAGTTCCGCTGGTTTGCATCCAATCTGAACCCATCTGGACACTTGCAAAAATACCCAGACTCCGTCGTCACGCACTGATGCTCACAGGTGCCAACGCCGCACACATCCTTCACCCTGCAAGTGAATCCATCGTCATCCAGGTCGTAACCTTCTTTGCACAAGCATTTAACCTCATCTGCTTCCTGGTGGCACAAATGTTCACATCCGCCATTGTTTATTTCGCAGTGTTCCTTCCCTGTTTTGCAAAATGGACCAGGAACAGTCCAACTATAGGTGTCGGCCGTCCCCATGCACACAGAGTATTGGGACTGTTGCTCTCTACATGAAAAAACAGCATATGTTCCAAGTGGAAATGATTCCATTTCACTTCTTTGTGGCTTTTCTGAGAAAGGAGCTGTGTAGGTTATTTCTCCAGGCCCCAACAAATCCAACGGTTTGCACATCCCCTTGAAATAAAACTTACACGCATAAAAAGCAGGGCTTTTGCATGTTCCGTCAACCCATTTCAGTTGGTTCTGACCTGATTCGGTGTAAGGAATTTTAACGCATCTCTCTTTGCATGTTTTGACAGGTTCTCTTACCCAGTTGGAGTAGTTGGAATCTTCCTCCCCAGACACCCACTTAAACCCCTTCAGAGTCTTGTCAGGCAGCACGCAGTCCTTTTTGTGCAGTTTTAATCCAATCCAAAATGTAGATGCCCTGTCCTGACTTTTTCTTTGGATCCGTGAGAGAAGCAAACGGAGCACATCCTCTTCTTCCCGGTCTCTCACTGTCATCACGTAACCTCCATTGTGGTCACAGTTCTGAACGGCCTTGTCAAAGAGTACCTCGTTCATGTGCAGGGTGAAGCAGGCGTTGGAGGTGCACAGCGTCTCATGTTCAGCTTCAGAAAGCCCAGCCAAGCTGCCGATGAGCTGCAGGAGAAAAATCCAGAACATCTTCCCCATACAGATCAACAAATTAGCTGTAACATCCAGAAGGTCCCGGGGAGCTTTTCTGGGGAAATGCGACAAATATGTGGTGGTCCATTCATAGCCAAAAACAAGTGGTGAGGGTCTGAGACTAACATTAATGCTCATGCATCCTGTTTGGGACACAAACTAAAGACGGAAACCATGTTTAGCTGCAGCTATGGGTTCTTTATCTTTCCCCCGCTGACCAGTTCCGTTTTGGAAGAAAAAACAATGGCAGGCTCCGCTGTGTTATGACTGCGTCTCCAGATGTCTCCGGCCCCAGCAGACTTTTTACATTTTAGCTGACTCCCTTGATTGTGGGCCCTCACAATACATGCACATGCAGGGGTCACAGTGAATGATGCACAATAGCTGCAAGAGATAACCTGTGACCTTTGCCACTATGCTGTCTATCCAGGCAAAGATAATAACACACACACACACAAAAACAGTCAGCATTGCACACACAAAAAACAAAAAAAAGAACGACTAAACAAAGAAAGACCAATACAAAAATAAAGGTTACCTTTTGATCACTCTAATGCTTCACACATATCCTAATTGTCCAAAAAAAAAAACAGTCCACCAATTGTTTGTCCGGTGAAAGAAAAGTACATTTTAGGAACTTTTCAGAAATAGGAAATTATAATGTTATATATAACTAGAGAATGCAATTCCTGAAGAAATTGCTAGTGGGAATGCTTTATGCTGAAAAGCTGACGCTGAACTGCTATGCTGAAATGTAATGTGTAAGAAGAAAGTGAATAATTTAGATTGAAATGATACATGAACACAGGGGGCTTGAATGTGTGATGAGATTTGAAAAGAAAGTAAAAAGGCTTGGAAAACCAGCAGAATATTCAAACTGCAAACTTCTGAACTAACTTGATGGCGAATGATCTGACTGTCGCCATGGCAACGGCATTTGCTGACACCCCATAATACGCTTAGATGCGTTGATGGCTGCATTGTTACCAAACCTGTGAAGTTTTGGGGCGTTTGGAGCAGTTTCACTGAAGTTATGAGAAAGCCGTGTTTCATGGCGAGCATTGTGTTGCCATGGCAACAGCATTTGAAGAAATCTCAAAACTGTCCCGTAGATGTCTTCAGGGCTGGACTGTTAGCACACATGTGAAGTTTGAGCACTTTTTGAACATTTTCATAGGAGTTATAGCGACATCATGTTTTATGGTGAGGGATGCGTTTCCATGGAAACGGCATATGGTGAGATCTCAGATTTGGCGTAGAGCGGTTGAGGCATGGACCGGTGATATACAAGTGAAGATTGGGGGACGATTGGACTGTGTCGATTGGATTTACAGCCACATCGTGTTTCATGGCGAGTGGTCTGTCGCCATGGCAATGACATTTGATGACACCCCATAATACGCTTAGATGCGTTGATGGCTGCATCGTTACCAAACCTGTGAAGTTTTGGGCTGTTTGGAGTATTTTCACTGAAGTTATGAGAAAACCGTGTTTTATTACATTACTCTCTCTCTTCTCTTGATCGCCCTCTGTCTCTCTTTTCTCTCTCTCTCTTCGGCATATGATGATGACACCCCATAATTGACGTAGAGCTGTTGGGCAGGACCATTAACCTTTATCTGAAGTCTGCTGCTCTGGGGCCTCATTTATAACGCCGTGCGTAGGATTCACGTGGGAAGGTTGCTTACGTAGTAGAAATCCAAAAAATAGGTACAGAAATGTTCCGACATTTTCCGATTCACCAAACATTGCGTACCGTTGAGGAAAGTGCGTACAGCACTTCCTACGCCGGTTTCCCTTTATAAATCACAACCGACTCGAAATGCGGTGCAGCTTTTGCTGGCTTCACGTAACGCCCATATTTGCCTATAAATAGTCAAAGAAACGCCCATTCATTCATTCTGACTGACTTTATGAAGAAGATCGCAGGAAATGACGACAGAACAGCTAAAAAAGACATCTCACACCGTGTCAGATTTAGGTTATTTTGGGGAGGTCGAGATAAATCATATTGTTTGGTGGATGCAGTTTGAACCAGAGTAGCAGCATGGAGGTCGGATCGTCACCAAAATAAATAAATAAATGGCCCGAAAAAGGTTAATGACAAAAACAATACACATAGCCTTCCTCAGGCAGTGTGTTTGTACCGGGGACAGGAGACCCCCCTTGATGAGAGACTGTAAGAAATGATCGGGGATTCCCTCCGGAGTGGAGTCATGACGACTGGATCTGAATTATGTTTTTGTATTTGGTGGTTTGTGTCCCAGCTGTCGATCAGCTGTGCGCAGCTTCTCCACTGCAGCCTGTGCGTCTCACCCCCCCCCCGCAGCAACCCTATATCCACCAGTTAAAGGAAATACAACTAATGTGTTGTGTTATATCAGCTGTACAATTGACCACATATGGTGTTCTTAGTTTCCATACCTCCTGTGTTTTATGAGCGACTTATCAAGTCTTGGCAAACGGCATAAAACACGATTAAACATGAGAGTATATAAAACCATGCTCGTATACAACCTATAGAAATGCAACACGGCGTCAGTTTAGACTAATTCTGTCCTCCTGCTTACCGCATCATTTATGAGAAAACATTTCATAACATTAACACAACATATTCGAGGTGGTTTTAAATAACATATCCGTATTTATTTATTTCTCCAAGTTATGTTTTTGTGTGCACTGAGGAGTCTCAAACAGGCGTTTGTTTAATCATTTTAAGATTGGCTTTAATCAATGTTTGAAAATGAATTCTTCATATATGATAAATGAGAGGTAACATTTTATTTATGGTATTATTTCCACATATTTCTCTCCATTCTTCCTTCTGCCAACGGTGTCGCAGTTTCTCGTCTCTCCCGTTTTTGTGCTTAGTGCGTACGCATGGGTTAGAGTTTGCGTGGAGGACCGCACGTTTTCCCGTCAAGTTAGTATTTTATAAATCGCAAACATTGCGTAGAAACTGGCGTACGCTATATTTTGAGCGAATATCCCTTTATAAATGAGGCCCCTGAACATGTCAGTTGGAGTGATAACATCATCGTGTTCCATGACACAGGTGTTTATTTTTGAGCTAACGAGGTGTGCAGAGATCACAGGTTTCCATTGTTCTGAATGAGAGATAAACCTCTTACATGTGAACGTTTTGTGGAAGAACCGTAACAGATATCTGTGAAATTTCAAAACGTGAAGCATGTCAAGGAAGTTGAGTATCTGAAGCGTGCTTTCTGTGTACTTTCGGGTTAATAATGTGGCCTTTTTGGCAGTTTAACTAAAGGTGTGCGGCTGCTCAACCCTGTCTCCTAAAAATTACGTTCCCACAGAACTAAACTGCATTCTCAATTACGTTTAGCAAGAAACGTATTTTCTCCCACGTTACGTTCGTTATGAACGTATCTCAAATACGTTTATTTTCTACATATCTTCTAGAAACATATTTTCTCCCATGTTACGTTCCTTATGAACGTATCTTAAATACGTTTATTTTCTACATATCTTTGCCATTTATTGTCTTGCTTATAATAATGATAATAATCATTTATAAATATCATTTTAGAGCATACATTTGAAATCAGTAGGCGAGGCTGTAATTGTGCCAGCTGTTACTCTCCTGAGCGAGACAGAACATAATAGTTTTTAACATGCCAACAAGCTGCTGTGCCGGCTCGTTTATTATTACGTGTTTTTGTACTTCCTCTAAGAAGAAAGGACAGTAACAGAAGATCTCTGTGACGCCAGATGTGGTGTTGTTAATGCGATATGATATCCGAAAAACATTTCAGTTTAGGATGGCCGAAGACACTACACTACCCATAATCCCCAGCTATCATTTGGGACTACAGTCCCGTTGACAAACCCTGTGATTAATCTTCAAGCTCTTGGATTGGATGTTGGAGTGGCAGTGCGCCAAGGTTACGCCGAGCGTCAAGCTCTTTGAAATGGAACGAAACCACGGCAGACTATTCAAAACTGGACTCGAACGCCCCCCCAGAACTATACATGCTGGCTATTGTGTTTCGCAACATGTTCTCTATGGCACGTCTCTACTGGGAATTGTAGTTTTAAAAGACGTTTTCGTTTTTCCAAAAATTAGAAGTTGACAGTATTAAACTGTGTACAGCCCTGGAGGTTTAGGCGATAGGAAACAAATTGGTGTGTACACATTTAAAACATGTAATTACTACATGGGTGAAAATCGCTTGTATCCATAATGGGCAGCATTAATATATACTGTATTATACTCCACTACAATTCAGAGGTTAACCTGGTATTTTTACTCCACTACATTTACTTTAGTAACTCTGCAGATTCTGATTAATGTTGTGAAATATAAACAACCCTTAAAGCAGACTTTAGTTACACCTGAGTAAAATTCAGGGAAAGGTGATTGTCAAGTGCCAACAATCAGGAGAGATATTTGATAGTTGGTGCTTGAGAAGACTAAACATTTATCTGCAGATCTCTATAAAGTATATTAATTACTCGTTATTGTCTACTAATAGTTAATTAAAAACTGTATATAATTGCTATTTTGCACATCCCTTTCAAGATTTCAAGATTTTCTAAGGTTTATTGACATATCATATACACAACTACAGTGTAGTTATGCAATGAATGAAAAACTTGGGTCACAGGTTCCTCAACAGTGCATTACGACATCTATCAATATGTGTGACTTGGTGTGACTTGGTTGAGACATGAAGAATATGTCAGCATAAATGAGGCCACTCCACCCAGCCATATCAATACTCATATTGCCCGAGGCACGGGCCGAGGAGGTGGAGTTGCAGCAATCTTTGACTCAAGTTTACTTATCAATACTAAACCAAAATTAAATTATACCTCCTTTGAAAGTCTCGTTTTTAGTCTTACGCATCCGACCTGGAAAACTTTGCAGCCAATCTTATTTGTTACAGTGTACCGTGCACCAGGTCCTTATTCAGAATTCTTATCTGAATTCTCTGAGTTTTTATCAACTTTGGTTCTTAAAACAGATAAAGTAATTATCGTAGGTGACTTTAATATTCATGTTGACGATGATAAAAATAGCCTTACTGTTGCATTTAACTCTATATTAGATTCTGTTGGTTTCTGTCAGAGTGTAAATAAACCAACCCACTGCTATAATCACACT